TTCATCCTATATTTTTATCATTTCTTTTTTCTAAGGGTACTCTTCATGAATTTCATAATACCTCATTCGAAATAAATAAAAAAAATATTATTTAAATTCGTAGGCAAATTAAAAAAATATCAAATATATATATTAATTAATAATATATAATTCAATAATATCTAGAAAATTTATCGTAAAGAATTTCTTTTTTAATTTTTTGAATGAAATTAATTATACTAATTCTATTTCTTATTCTTATATATCAATTATCCATCTATAAGAGCTTTAAATATCTAATTATTCCATATAATAGAAATTCAATATTGCTTTTTATAGTATCATGACTCTAATTCTTATCGAAAAGATCTAATAAAAGGAATAAGTTTAAAATATTTATCCAGAGGATTTCTAGATTACCATCTTGAAGAATCGCCTCTAACTAAAAGCCGATAACCACGATTCATAGGTCGTATCGACAACCATCGCACCCAAAGCGGAAAAGCGCAACAAGCACACAACACAACATTTCACAGAATCCAGACCCATCGCTTTGGAAGATAAGGTTTTGCCATAAGGAAATCAATGTCGCCCAAAATAATTCTCCGATCTTTGCATCTTTTTGACCGCGTTCTTCGCGTTCAGACCCCTTTGATTGGGCTCAGCGTCCAGGAGAGGACGAGTCGATCTCCTTGGTCGAAGCCTCCGCTTCCTGTACCACAGACCACGAAGTCGCTTCATGGAACGGGCATGGTCACTGCAACCTTTGTGCATTTACTGACCTTCCCAGTGGGATATGTGTACAATGGCGCCTGAAACGTACCAAGGAAGTCGAAAAGGCACTTTTCAACACCTTCGCAGTATGCACTAGGAATCCACTGCGTCTGACGTCTAAGTGCTTTCCGAAACCTTGTGCACGGGCACGTGCCGCAGCGGTGAAACATCACATGGCGACCCAAAAGCCTTCTGAATCCCTCTGAATGCCACTGCACCTTTTTCTCCTCCAGCTAAGCAGGTCTTGGGACTCAGTGCCAAAATCACAGGAGGCAGCGAACAGATGGCCGCCTTGCGGGCACAAAGCTGCCCTTGCAAGTCATCCTGTAACGTCCTACAACGTTTCGGTGTAAAAAGCGGGGTCTCAGGATTCAGACACGTTCAGACTCCGGGGTAGGCAAGGCATCTGCGTTTTCAGGACACCGCTCCAGGATTCGCAGACTTACACGACAGGCGCTTTCTTCCAACAGCCCTGTACCTGACCAGCCGCGATGATATTGATGCAGAACTCCACAGTGCGATGCTTCGAGGAAGTAGAAACAAGCCGCACTTGAGCCAGCAGAGTCCCGATGTGGAGGCCTCATCAACGCAGATGCCGAAGCGCTCCGAACCTAATCGCAAAGCAACGCTGGCTACCAGGCCCAGGATGAAGGGGTAAGCTCAGCTGGTGTCCTACATGGGCTAGGCATGATTAGGCAAACGTAGCCGCGCCTAGTTCAGTTCTTCATAAACCAAATCCCGTCCTCGAAACTGCCAGGGGCATCGGGATGGACAACTGGCGCAGCCGTCTCTATACTGCCCCAGTCCAAACTCCCACAAGTACGGGCCGTTGGACCATTAGACTTCAACAGACAGCCGCTGATCATCCAAGCGTCAATCCTAGAAGACTGCAATGACCAAGCCATTTTGGGCCTTGGAAGGCTATCTCCCTCATGCCGCCAAGGCGCTGCAGAAGCCTCCCCTGGTTTCGAGGCCAGCAGACGCAGGCCCTGTTTGGGGGTTGAGCGCTTCGGACTGGGGTTCGAATATCCCTCAAACGCAGACCATGTCTTCAATCCACGAGTACTGTCGAGTCGTGTAACCTTGATCCGAGCTCCTGCGAGACACGACAGCTTGGACCGTGCAAGGAAGCCTCCCGAATCTTTCGGTTGTCTAGAGCTCCCGTGTCTTGGCTCGCCTTGGGATCGCGTTGGGGCACGGCACTTCTGTGAGGTACGGACGACTTGGAGGGCTCATGTGGGTCTTGGGGCCGCCCAAGTTCATGCCTCTCTACATGTGAACCTCTGGAACTCGTCAGGTCTTGAAGCATGCAGGGCAATCAAGGCTTCATCAGTCGCTCTCTTCCTGCCGTAGGACCATCCTGCAGCTGTTCTGGTACATTCTCGCACCGATCTGGTAAGAGCCCAGCTTGCAACGGTTTCCTGGTCAGGTAATCAAAACTCATTCAAAGATTTGAGGTCTTGGCGGGGAGCATTGAATCGAAGGCATTGCGTACACATACGACTGTTGATGCTGATGGCCGATGGCAGGGGACCAGGCGATGGTTCTTTCGATGCTGACCATGCGTTAGCATGTACAAACCTGAGGCGAGACCCGCAACACACGACTGACGCGAAGGGGTCTTCAGTGCCTGTAGCTTTCGGAGCAGAGCGGAACTAGAACAACGTACCATGGGCTGCTGCGCACAGCTCACACTCACAGCAAGCTCGGGCTTCTGACGCGCAGATTTCGCTCTGACCCCAACCTCTAGCGCCGCAATTTCGCAAATTTCATAGCCACAAGGGTCCTGCCCGTCCTGCCGTATGAGCTGCTGAGGGCCTGGTCAAGTTTGGGTCAGCAGATTGAACGGACGAAGACCTAAATCACATGAACAAGCAACTCAAAAACTGCACTAAATCTCCCGAGCTGCCCCGGAGGATTTCGGGCGCTGCAGCTTGCCGCTCAAACCTGCTACTTGTCGAAAGGGGTTCCAGCTCATGGTTCAGGGATTTCAGGGTTTGGGGCTCAGATTACCAGATCTGATGGGTCCACGTTCCATGAATCGTGCGGCAGCTGCACTTGGGGTCTCGGCAGGGTCTTCACAACTTTCATTGTCAGAAATTGGTCCGGGGCGTTTGTCCCTAGATGGTGGGTTGTAGACTGGTTGCAGCTTCGCAATCGGCCGCGTGCCGAGTTCAAGTTAAGCTGCATCATTCGTGAGGTAACGTGCCAGGGTATGTAGCTGTAGGCCAATTTGGGCTGCTTGTCTTCGTTACGACATATTATGCCTCCAAAGGATTTCTGGTACAGTACTTATGTGATAGGCCATTCCCGATCAGTGTTGCCATAGATCGTTTCAAGCTCTAACATGCTCTAACCAAATTGTAACTCGGCCAGGACAAACCAGCAAATTTGCCGCAGCACGAATTTCCAAAGCCCGGAACTGCGCTAAATCGGGCCCGAAGTTCCCAGCTCTCAAAACCTGCAGCTGCACTCTGCGCTGCGAGCCCGGTCTTGGAGACAAATCTATCCCTTGAAGCCAGCGGCTAGACACGGAAATTTTACGTATTCGCTGGACTGTGTTCAAATGTGCACTGGGGACCTGTTCGTGAGGATGAGGAAGGAGACTGCCTCGGAAACACCGCCAACACGTGCACTAGTCTGTGCAAGAACCCGTCTGTTGGCAGCAAGCTTTCCCGGATCTGGCAGTGCAAGAAAAGTCCAGCAGGCCCCGGGGCCCGCTGCCGAGTGCGACAGGATCCCCATTCCCTGCAGAGCCTCTCAGACGATGGGCCGGCTGGCGTCGTCTCTCCTGGCGCAGATGGCAGTATTCTCGGAGTCGGCCACCTACATGTCAAAAATCATTTTGGCCGAGACTGAATTGATTGAAGGCATTGATGACAAACAGAGCAGCGCTATCTTCCGGCCTGCCAAACGACTGATGATCAGCGGGTAGTAGTTTGCGGCCAGGTGCGGCGAGCTTGGAACTGGCGGGGCTGGACAGCAGATGGGAATCGCTGCTCAGCACGCGCGAGGCAGGTTCGGTTCGGACGGATCTGCACCGAGCAAACCTACAGAATGCTATCTCATGTTCAGCTGCTCCAAGCCCGAAGCCCCTCAAATCTCAAGTCCCGGCCATAAACCGCAACTGTCATCAACTGTGCTCCTGGGACCTGCGACCGGGGAGTCCGCTTGCGGACTGGCAGGAGACCTGTCGCTCCACGGGCATAGGATGCGGGGTAACAGGCATGATGTGTGGGGAAAGATGCCAACAAAGACAAAAGTAGAAACGCACAAACCCGGCTCAACTCCTGGCATGTCGTTGGTAGGCAGGCTGACTTGCTACGACACCGCTGTCAGTCGTGGACATTGGAACCAGGGTTCACCCATGCTTGAACTGAAGTGTGTCAACAGTGTGGTGCATCACCGACTCTTTGTCAAATCCACAGCATGAAGTACTACGGCTACGACTGTCTGTGCCAGAATTACCATTGTAAAAGTCCACAATTCTACATGCCTCCCGGACAGTATCCGTCCATGCCTTGGTTTTGGCTGTACATGTAGCATCAAATCATCTGTTTCCCGGATAGTCTGCACGTCATCTGCGAATACCTGCAAGCTGCGACCTCCATGTGTAAGTATTCAAGGTGCAGGATCATTCAAGCGGATCTTTCCACAGCACAAGCCAACAGCCCCTGTCATTGACAGCCCTTCCTTGATATGCTGGCATCCAAGCTTTCCATATGCATTCCCTGGTATCGGCCTGGGGGATGGCACCTGGCGCTGTGGCGGCGACGGTCGGGTGAAGCCTTGATGCAATCAAGTGAGCTGTAGCACCCCGTAAAGCAGGAACCAGAAACGGATTGTCTTCCCAAGTCTTGACAAGTCGCGCTTCTCAAGCTGCGCTCGCCAAGCTGCCTCCACCTGTGACTTGGTCAGCTGCATTCGCAGCTGCTCGATAAGACTACCGCAAGGCATGAAGATAGGATTCGGAAGGATGGGGCCGAAGACTGGCACTTGCACACCTGCCGCCAGCTAGGCGTTCTGGCATTGAGCTGCAAAGGATTTTCAGCTGGAAAATGCGAGAAGTGTTGACCGTAAGAGTGACTCGAGAGTTTGCAACTGCGCAGCTGTACCTCCCATTCTTACAGCTGTTCAGAAGCAGGGTGCAACGGGTACAGCTGCCCTCAACGTTAAGGCGCTAAAGCCGCATTCCGTGGAACCGGTAAGTAGTTCTGACGCAGACTGAATGCTACGGGCACACCTCAGCATGACTCCGCCAAAGCTCGCTGGCCTCGTAGCAAGATGCATCATCGTCTTGCACCCTACCGCCATGCATACCGCCACTTGCAGACACGGTGTATCATGGCTCCGGCCCAATTACGAGATGACTTGAAGCTATAGGTTGGGTTAGCTGCTGGTCTATATATACGAGTCTTGTACATGCCTGTGCACACGCGCGTATGCCTGTCACCGGTGTGTCGGGTATTCCCTCGCATGAGGGCATACACACACAGGCAAAAGACTGACACCTACATTATCCACCAGGAGACAAAGATGTGCAGAGTGCAGATTCTCATGCAGAGACCTTCCTGAAGCACTCCAGCCTCGATCAGCTGCTCCTCGTTGAGCCCTGGAACAGTTGAACAAAGCTCATGGGCTCCATCCCTACGTGCTGTTTCTGGATTCAGAAGAGAGCAACCTGACGCCTTCCACTCACACTCTTGTCTGGCCACAAGCACCCCGAAAGCTTCAAACCTGAACCATCAAGCACTTCTGACATCGGGGAAGGTTTCGACACCATCTGTCTGAATTCCGAACCGACCAAACCCGAAACATCTCCAACTAGAAGGTAGCTTCTTGTCCGAAAGTAAGTGGAAGGTCTATCTTATGCTACTCACCTGTGGTGTGTTCAATTCGTGCGGATGTGGAACAGCTGCAGTGTCAGGCTGAATGCGATCCAAACTAAACCTGTGTTCCAAGAGAAAATTTAAAGCTCGTCCTTCCCGGGCGTGTTGCTTAACCCTGAAGCGCCACTGCCAAATCCGTCCTTCTGTGTAGGCTGAGAGGAAAGAGAAGACCTCCTCAGTCAGAAGTTTCTCTTCGCACTGCGAGCTGTGCAGATGCAGATGCTTAGGAGCTGACGCTCTGCTTTGCCAGCGCATTCAGCCTCGTGGTAGCAGAATGTCAGCAGAAGCGAGCCCTCGAACTGCAACTCGGGATTTTAAGTCAACTGAACGCGAATTGCCATCATGGCAGGAGGCTCGGGTGACTGTTCGGCAAGTGGGGTTTCTAACACACCTTTGCTCGTAACAGAAGTGACCCCTATCAACAGAGGTATGCTACCGCTTTGTTTGCAAGCCCACATAAATTCGATCGAACATGTTTTGCAGCAGTAGCCGGCAGCACAAGCACCAGCAGAATCAGAACTGATAGTTGCGGCGTGCCTGAAGCACGTCTGCACATGATCAGTCATGTAACTGCGGCGATCTCAAGCGCTGAATTAACTGAGATCCCTGTCACCCCATTCTTCTGCTAACGAAACGGCTGCTGGCCGTCACGAGCCTTTGCTGAAGATGGAGCGGCTCAGTTTCCGGCCAGGGGTGCTGCGATTTGAAGATGTCCAACACCTACAACAGACTGCAAGTTCGAGGCTGTCGAAATTTCATGCATCCTACCACAAACCCCACGTCTACAGAAAGAAACGCGGGAACGGCTGCTGAAACAATTTGCAGCACCTCGTTCTCCCGCGCTTGCTGCACGCTTTCCTGCAGCGCACGCTTTCGCTCCTGCAAGAAGGCACGAATCTGTGCTTCATGCAGGCCTAAAGCCCCGAAGCTCCACAACCAAGGCACTCAAACCTGTGCAGCACCAACGCCAGGTTTATGCGAAGAAAACATCTCCGGAAGTTCATGCCCCCCACCAAATCTTGAATGGTATCCCGCACTTGCAACGAACATCGAATATGCACCCCCCCCCGCCGAAACATGAAAGAAACAGCAGTGGTCGGAAACCTGCCGATCGTAGAATTCGAGGTAAAGTCGCTGGTGGACCTGGCAGGTCTGCTTTATAGCGATGGAGCATGAGGGATCAAACAAGGACTGGTAGACAACCATGCTGGATTGCATTTTCCGAGTTGCAGTGCGCAAGTAACGCAAGAGGCACCACCCCTACGGCGTCAACTTAAGAAAGCTACTCCAACCACAAATGCCTACTGCGGCACACGCAGTCGTAGCAACAACCCCCGGCCTTGCCAGCCTTGAGCTCAGGAATCTGGAGCTTCAGCGCACTCACCTGAGACATGTTACACCCCTCTCCGTCTCGCCCTCACTCCCCATCTCACTCCCTCTCTGTTGCTATGCTGCTGTCTCGCTCGCTTGAAATAACATGGATGTATCTCCACACGCAATACTGCTGGAAGCCCTACACAGGCTACAGACCTGCCAGGCTCTGCCTGGATTTGGATCGGTGAACCCCAAAAATATTCGCAATAAAAGCATTACTTTTATATACGCAAAGGTATGTGTAACTATATGTATGTATGTTTGTTTGTTTGTTTGTTTGTATGTATATATATATATATACACATACATGTAGACATTTGATGGATTGATTGATTGATTGATTGATTGATTGATGTTTCGACTGGGCTTTGTGGAGCGCTTGAGACCTCAGATATGAAGAGGGCGTCATGGATGTTAGATGGAACCGAGACAAGACGTAGAAGACATCCTTGGTAAACATCTAGCGACACGTTTCCAGTATTGCCCAGTCATGTTCCAGACATGGGATTCCCGTTTCTGCCAGCTGCGGGCTTTATCCTTTTGGCCAGCCCGCCACCAGCCAAACACTAGCGTGCTGAGAAAGAGGTAACCAGGCCTCATAAGGTGGGGCGAGCCTGGGTGGGGCGAAAGCCCCTGGTACCAGCTAAACAAAGGTATGACAACAGAACGGAATCTGCAATGATGGCAGTCAGTCCGCTGCCCATATAATGCGTGTATGTGAGGTCGGCTTACATTAGAAAACACTTCGAGGACTGCACCAGCAATTCTTTTCCAGAGGATCGGGCCCGGTCAAACCAGTGACATGTTGCTTCTAAGGTGTCTTGGGGCACTACTGTGACGCTTTGATTTGCCCCGCTGCGCTGTAAGGCGTGTGCGATTGTCTTGCAGATCTGCAATACGAATCTGCGTGCTTCGCAACAAGACCCTGTCCGCTAGCACAAAATTTTGACTCAAGCATAGCAGTCTGTTTTCCATGGCGGTTCACCGCTGCTGACAGAATCTGTGCTGTTGCTGCATGCTGCCCGGAAAGACGTGGTTTTGATCGCTGGTGTGTATCAAGTGGAGGGCGTGCCCGCATCTTGGCACAACCTGGGCACAACGGAACCCGGCAAATTCCAACCAAGCCGCTTCGAAAGAAGAACAGCAACACACTCAGAATATGCAGATGGTCGAAAATAGTCTAGCTGGGCAAATCCCACCCATGCTCCCTTTACCTGCGGAGGCCACCTGCATCTAGGTGGTTGCATCCCGGAGAAGCGCGTTTAAGTGTCGCGTGCCAGGCCAAGGCTTCCACAAACTACAAGTAAGTCACCAGCCGCAAGGTCCGAACAATGCATACCGATGCCTTACTCAGGCTTCTCAGGCCAGGGCGGCAGCAGAGGCATAACCAGACTTGGGCCGCCCGGAGCCTTGGTCGCGGCATTCTGCCCGAGGCCGAATTCACCAGCAAGTCATTAGCCTCGGGGCGCCGACGGGATTCAAGCTGTCGCACGTGAGTTGAGAGCTGACCCAACGCCTGCCAGGCTGCAGATGCAGGGTTCGACGCTTCATCTTGGCTGAGGCAGGACCTCGCTAAGGGTGTTGCATGCCACATCCGACGACGATTGCCCTGTTGGCACGATCTTTGCCAACTTTGGGTGGTAAAGTAGTGCCGCATTCATCCACATGCTTTCTGCCAACGGTCTCCAATCGTCAAACTTAGGACTTAGGATATTCCACAGCCACCTTGCTTAAGGGTTGCAGGACGTGGAAGGTGTTATCAGCAGGCCAGTTGCTTCAGGATGCTGCATCGTCTTCGGGAAACGAAAGTCAAAGCCTCTGAACGCCTCTTCCTTCTGTCCTGCTGTGCCAGCGTCTTGTCACGGCAGATGCAACAGCCGCAAGGCTCCACTCGAACTTTTCGATTTCAGCAGGGCACGAACAGTACCTGAAATACCCAATGTTTAGGCTATTAAATTATGTCAGAGCGGAGCCCACAACGTTGCGTCGAAGCGGCTTAACAGGCTTAACACTACACACATCTTAAAACTTATTCTCATGCAGATCAGATTGACAGCGACCTTTGGCCGCGGCGATACCTGGGCAACTCCGAACGATGACTGGGATAAGGGGTTTATGCCCTCACTTCCAGGCCTATCAGAACGGCTTATCTTGGCGAGCCTGATGAGACTCCACCCCATACAAGGCAGCTGCTTGCGCAACCATGTTCAGAAAACCGTCCCCGCCATTCCATTTCCTCTGCAAACCCAGTGGTATAAGCAGCCAGTGGTAAACAAACGCGAAGATAGTAAAATCTACCGGTATGCGCAGCATCCGTTGTTGACAGAGCAGAAGCACTATCCGTCGAAGTCCATCACTAACCACGCAACTAGTCCGAAGTGGACAAAGCAGAACTAGTCCGAAGTGGACAAAGCAGGACCACGAACATTTTGTGAGTGTAGGGAGTGGGAGTGATCCAAATAGCAGCAAGATACTGTCAGCACTGTCAGCACCACGACAACAACGGATGGTGACACTGCTGCTACTGCTACTGCTGCTGCTGCTGCTGCTGCTGCTGCTGGTGCTGCTGCTGATGTTGCCAGTATTCCTATGTATTCTGCTACCACGACGAAGCGGAATTGTTGTCATGGCACAACACACAGGCGATCCCATATTTGTCGTTTGTAGTAGTACCAACGAAACATCGAAAGCCCCAAGCACCGATCTCGGGCCAAGCAGCCGATGATGGAACTGAGGCTTCCAACCTTAGAAGATTCAGGCTTCTTCAGGTTTTCGGCCTCTTTGCGAGCTGGATTTCGAGACTCGACTATTACGGGTTTTGAGATTTGGGGCTGTCTTGGTCCGCCTTGACAGAACGAAGGGGGAAGACTGTACTGAAGACTGTTGGGATCAAACTTCACCGGTGCCTGTGCCGACAAGCTCCAGGTTCAAGGTTCTGAGTAGGTCCATGTAGGGTCGAGGAGTGAAAGGCGGTGACTCTCTAGATCCTGAGGCATATATACATACAGACAGTGTGACATACAGCTGAGAAGCGCCTGCAAGCAGCGACAAGTACGTGCAGATTTTGACCGTATTTACATGAAGTCCGACAACCACGGCAGAACAGCCCTGCCTGGACGGGAGGAAGCTAGGTTGGTCGCTTCGCCTCAAGGCCAGTTCAGGAGCTCTGATGCTCGTATACATGACTCAGAGTTGGGCATCAAATTCTCGGAAGAAATCGAACCCGAAATTGTCAGGTCGCCGGGACCGAACTGTCGTGGATTTTGCGGTGGTCTCCAAGCTCACATGTGCATGTGTCTCTACCTCTACCACGATCTACCCACCTGGCTACACTGTCCATGCAGAGCGAAGCGTCCGTCTGTATACGTGTATGCAATTGTATACATGTAGTATGTATTTTGTTGCAAAACAGAGCAACAGAGTGTGAGAGATGCGTGTGGGTGTATGAGAGAGAGAGAGAGAGAGATAGAGAGAGAGCGTGTGTGTGTGTGTGTGTGTGTGTGTGTGTGTGTTTGTGTTTGTGAGAGTGTGCGTGCGTGCATATCTATGTATACATCTACATTAATCTACGTATATATGTACATATACATATATACATACCTTTTCAGGCATGGATGCGATGAGATATGCATACACCAGGTTACGTACGGATGCACGTATATGCACGTCCCAGTACCAAGCATCTCGAAGACCCTTCTTCAATTCTCGGCACTTGCACTCCCATGTTCAGATCGCCCAAGACGAAGAGCCAGTGCGCAGGGATGGGGCAAGACAATCTGAGTCGGGCCTGATCTCCAAGCTGCTCCTGGGGCTCGTGACCGTCAGCCTCCTGACTGCAGGCCGACGTTAAGGGACTCAGTCTAGCTTCGGTGATTGCACGTCTGTTTGCAGACTCGGGGTGAAAGGGGTGGCATTGCACTACCGCAAAGCTTTCGACTTTGGCCGTGACGACAACCTTCAGTGGATGATCCTGAAGTCAGAACCTTTTAGTATTATTGGCATTGTTAATCCGCAAACTCGGGAAAGCTTTGAGCCGGAGGGGACGGAAGACTCCGGAATCGTTTTGAAAATTGGTCTGTGAAGCGGCATACATCCAATCATCATCATTCAGCATTTCAGAGCGACATCATTGAACCACGTTGCAAACTCTGCACATGGTAGGCGTAAGCAACAAACAGCCGAATAATCATCAGAGACATCTGCACGCATCAGGGGGCAATCGCGGTTTGTTTGCCAAAGAATCGGGATGCTTCCCCACATCGATCCAGGAGGACCCAAGAATAACAGGGGCTGAGTCCTCGCTTGCAGCCTCTGACACAAATTCTATGACCGTCGAGTTTAGGCACCGAGTAAGCCAGCTTTTGAACCGGTAGAAAACAGCTCAACGACGCCTAAGCTTTGCTTGTCCTAGCTATTCCATTGAAGCGCGACTCTACATGTGTTGACATGTTGAGAAGCCAAAGAGTAGCGAAGAACCTTCGAAACTCCCAAAACCTCGCTGAACCTGTAACACCTCAAGGAAGAAGCCCGAATCGCCACTTCTGACGACAAGGGCTGCGACGCTGCGACAACTGAAACAAACAGCGCGTTCACCACCAGCACCACCGCCGCCAACACTTTCACCACCGCCGACGCCACCAGCAGCAGCAGCAGCAGCAGCAGGAATTAGCAGCCCCAGCAGCACCGACAGCAACAACAGCACCGACACCATCGACACCACCGCCATCAGCTCATCCGCCGAGCTTCGCACACTAAAAAGACAAGTGCAGGCCTGACAGGCCCAATACAGGGCTCAAGTCATTCAAAGGGCACCTGCCTTCCATTCCGTCAAAAGGAACACCATGCACAGAGCACTCAGGCAATCCATAAACGCGCGAACCTTTGAAGCCCCTATCTCTGTCGGCGGACCATCTCCGCCATGAGCTGCGCAGCAGCAGCAGGATGGTCAGAGTCTGCCTGTTTTTCAGCCGTGGCCAGCAGAGTTTCGGGCCACAAGAGAACTTGCGAAGTAGGCCAAAAAAACTACAATATCCCAGGCCCTACTGATACAGAGATAAGCAAATCTCTGACTGCAAACTGCAAGGGTGGGGTTTTGGACAGAACCTTTGTAAGAAGCCACGACTTGCTGACTCTCGGACTGATGTGGCTACAGCACGCTACGAAACGGATAAAACCTCGTGCAGTCGCCGACATGCAAATCAGGTCATGCACTATGCTAGGGTTCGGGCACAGAAGCGGATCATTGCCACAAAGGTCTCCTCGCTCGGACGTCTCGCGGCTAACACGAGAACCGAGGTTCAGCTATGGCCCAAACATGTGGAATCACCAACAGTCTGGCAACGCAACGCATCAAGCGAAGCGACAAGGATCTTAGGGTTTCAGTTGCAGCTGCATTTATGACAATTTACGGCACCCATAGCAAGGACTTGCATGTTCCTTCCTTTCCTTCCTTCCCTCTCTCCTTTTTCCCGTCATTGCTCATGCCTCTTAGGCTCTTCTTGAATCTCGTATTTTGGTCTTCACCACGCCTGCTCTACAGCGACGCCGGCAACCCGCAGCATCAGCAGAAGCTCCTGACTGCACAACCGATTGTGGCGATTTTGCGTCCGTCGGCCACTCCTAAGCACAGTAGCTGTGCCCTATCCTGTTGTAGCTATTGAAGACTTTACTTTGTTTTTTGCCATGCCACTGTCCCGTTCACAGACTTGCCGCGCCACAGATCTGAAGCGAAGCAGCAAGTGCCGGAGCCAACGGAACCCGTTGTATCGCTTCATTCCGAAATGCCTGTCCTCTGCCACGCGAGCATGGTTCAGACCCGCCTTCACCTCCTTGAGGCCCTGAAAAGGATTGCATGCAGTCGAGGCGAAAAAACCTGCTAGACTGCTGCAGTCTCACTTCCTGGCTTTGGAGGCCACGGGCATCGATTGCAGTAGTTCAGAGAACTCCGGAACCCTAAACCGCTCAAACCCCAAATCCGAAAACCCTATCCCGTTTCGAGCCATGCACCGGCAGAACAGGCTGGACACTCATGCTTAGACTCAAGATGTCACCGCGACAAAGCCCGTTTAAGGGGGAGCAGTCGCGATCTCTTGGGCCTAGGGTCTTAGGGCTGGACTAAGACTTCAGACTAATACATCTAATACTAGCAGGTTTTAGGAGTGGCGGTTCCGCTTGCCCTGGCATTTGCAGAGTTTCAAGACATCACGTCTTGATCAGGGAGTTGCTCTTGGGGTGCCACGCACACATTTGCTCTCAGTGAAGCCGAGAAGGAATGCCGGGATATACAAGTCGGCATATCGCACCCATTTCGTTTTCACTCGGTATGCCCTCGGTTTCTGGCACTGCAATTCGGCCGCCAGCTATTCTGCATGACTTTTCGGCCCAGTACTTTCCGAGTCGTTACTCGGTAGTCGCTGTGACTTGCACTTGTGCTACTGACCATGCCTGGCAGCCTAGATAACTGCAGAGGAAACGGCTCTGCCTGAAGAATCGCCTGCACCACGGCATTTTCCTTTGTGCCGGCGCGTGATGCCTGGCGTTCTTCACTGATCATTGAATGCATGCATGCATGCATGCATGCATGCATGCATGGATGCTTGCTTGCTCTCTCTCCCTTCCCTCCCTTCGTCCGTCCCTCGATTTGCGGAATTTCGTTCTCTTCTTCTGCTGGGCATGGGGGATGTTGAGATCACCCGGGCACTAGGCCCTCCCACGGGTTATGGGGCTTTGAAGGGATGCGAAAGTCTTCGAGTGTTCATGCTTTGTGTTCGAGAATATGGTGATTGCACTGGGAGAAAAAGCATGTCCCCCGGTTGTTCGCAGTACACGTGCGCTAACTGATCGCATGGTCCGCTCAGTGTTAGCAAAAAGAGTTATACACTAAACCGAAGCCTCATGAGGAGTACGATCTGCCGGCTCAGCACAATGTGTTATCCAAGAATTATTCAGCTAGTCACGAACATGGCAAAGATCAGCGGTCCACAACTTAAGACACATCGAGAGCCGGCTGTGTTGGGTATATGGTGGGGACCCTAGGCTGGTCTTGTCCTAAGTGCTCAGCGCTGTGTCGCGATCTCGTTCTCTCTCTCTCTCTCTCTCTCTTTCTTTCGCCAGGGCTGTGGTGCAGGGGGAGAACCCCCTACATCGCGCGCGTTAGCGCCCCCGACTGTT